ATTAATACCCAACAATAAAACCTTTTATTTGCAGTGGACATCAGCAGAGTAAAAATAAAGAGGAGATTATCAATGCCAATCTACTTTATTTCAGTCTTTCAAAAACTATGGATGTTGTATCTTTTCAAACCAAAGCATTTCCTATGCTATTCCCCAAACACAGTTCCAAAGGATTTTACTGGTGTGTAGGTATTAGCAATTTCTTTATTGGTGCTCCTTCAAAATACTTACTGTTGTTGAAAGACATACATACAGCCAGGTGCTAGAGTGCTCCCATGTGAAATGGAACCAAAGCCTCCCAGTCTCTTCAGCAGCAAAAAATATCAGCAGCACAGAAAGTCACTCACTCCAGCCTGAAGAGAGGGAATCATGGATTCCTTCATGTCAAACAGAAGAAAAAACTGAATCTGTCTCTCTGTATGTCAGATCATTGCTGAATCCTTTTGGTTCATAAATCCTATTCAACTCTTCCTTTATTTCCATTCAGAAGGTCCAAAATGAAATCAAAAGCTTTGTTTTGTAATTAAGGCCAAGAAATACTTTTTCTGTGAGGTGAAAAAAAAATCCATTCAGTTCAGCCCCTACCATTTTTACCCAATTATTCAGTTCAGTGATTGAACTGAATAATTATACTGCCTAACTGCTACTCATCTATCATTGAGGCCAAACTGGAATTGCAGTTATTAATCAAAATATATTATAATGGTTGGCAAAATGAATCACTGTTTTTTCCAAAATAAACTCTTTGTCACTGAAAACTAAAACATGTGTGGTGCTCCAGTAAGCTTGGCCACTTATTTTGGTATCTAGCTACAGCTTTAAGATTCTACAGGACCATTTCTTAAAATATTTTGTGGAAAGTACAAGCACATACAAGTCATGGATATCTTAACCGGATTATGTAAGACAAAACTTTTAGTATTCAGTTTAAACCTAATTTTGAAGGAACTTTTGGAGTTTTAAGATGTTTTAATAACACATTTTTCTAAATATTTCATATGCCTTTTGTGCTCAGAATTCTAATACCATCTAAAGAGTTTTATTACATTCTTGTCGTTTTTCATGAACTTGTCTGGGGCTATGTGTAGGTGGTATAGAAGGCACCAAAACTCTTCGGCTGTCACAATATATCTGCAATAGATATATACAGAAAATATTATTGCTTGGTTACCTGCAGTTACACAAGTTCCAGACAGAAAAAAAAATAATTAAATTCAGAAAAAAAAAAAAAATCTATCAAAAGAAAGAAAATTCATAGCTTTGCAGCAAAACAAAAGAAGCCCTTGTCCAGATACTACTGCTTAAATGTAGTCATTAAAATTTACGATTTCCAGCCATTAGCTTCTATTTCTATCTTTAACTGAAATAATATGTGTAAGATTTTAGGATGATATCTGCAAATGCTGAACAGTATCTCCTATAGGCATTTATTTTGATTCAATATTTTCTTTATGGAAATTTGGCCATTTCCAAGAATTTTTTCAGAGATGCTTTTTATCACGAGATCTGAGACTGTTTGCTTTTCCAAGTGGTTGGAAAATGTCTTTTTTTTTCTAACTAAAAAAATTAAATTAATTTTTAATTAAAAAATGTAAAAGGGGTAGCTAGCAGGGAAAGGATGTTAGTATTTCTAATATTATCTCTAATATGCAATTACATTCTATAAATAAGCACCTACCTAAAGGATTAAGCAACCATTACCTTAAGTCAATTGACAAAAGCATAGGATGTAGGAACACTTAGAAAGATGAGCTGAAATGTAGTTATCTATATCTACATCTATGATTTCAAGGCACCTAAATTCCTCTTCTGTATGAAAATTATTAGTGATAAATGAATGATATTGCATGTATACAGAATATAGAAAAAGATCCCAATCAAAGTAATGAAGAAAAAAACCTGTCTCTCCAGATGGTATTTGAGTAATGTGTGAGAATAAATCATAATTATGGTGGAATTTGGAACAGCAAAGGGCTGGTAGAATGTTTTGCTGCTGGTAGTACCTTTCCCACACATGAAATCTTCAGTTCTGTTTCTGCATGCAAAGAGAACTGATTTTGAGATCTTAACCTAAATTTGAGTAATGCATCAAGTAATATATCTATGAATATCTGCACAATTTAGAAGTGTAAATTACTTACTATTAATGAGTCTAAAAAACCAGCATTTGCATCCTTACAGAAATTTTACATTGAAATTTTATTCTCATTTTTCTTTTTTGTTTTCTTTTACATTGTTTATCATACACATTTTTCATTGTAATTTTCCATAAATACATATGGACAAATTTGACATATTAGACGCTAGTACAAGCCTGGAATAGAAGTTAATGGGCAAAAATGCATTTAAATACAAAATAATGCAGTTCATCAGCATTTTACAGGGTTAATATACATTATGCACAATGAATTGTGGTCAGGTCAGAAAATAGATTTGGCATCTAGAATGCTATCATTCACCCAGATCTCTTTGGAACATAAATAGCACCTCTAGCTAATAAAATGATTGTCGAAATAAAGAAACAAAAAAATCTAGCCAATATGTTCAAGTAAAAACCATACAGTATTGCAAAATACAAAAAAGAAGAAAAAAAAATTGTTAGTGAACAACAATGGCTTATGTATGCTTAATTATTGCATAGCAATACCAAGTTTTGTTGGTAGACTGAACTTTCCAAGTAGGCTATAAATGGAAAACAAACCTATGTCAGACTTCAGGAAGGTTATTTATGTAAGTAAGTGCTTTATGTACCACTCTGAAAAAAAAATCTCAATAACTTTATGGTAGAACTTTTAAAGAGTCAGAGGTGAATGCAGATTTTTCATGGGTTTGCCTACTTGAAGACAACATTAAAAAAAAAAAAAATTCAAAACCTAGAAAAGGTATGAAAAATTGTCAATGTTTTTAGAGCCTGGTGATCTGGACACTTCCCATAATAATTTAATACGGGTATTGTTTACAACATCTTAATTATTCTCATTTTCTACCCTTTTTACCACACTATCGTGTCCATCAGTACTTCATATGATCTTGTCATACATACTACAAGAGATGAAAATTCAGTCTACGTGTTGCAGTCTGTTCAGAGATCATCTAGTTAATGCTTCCACAGCAAAAACACCCAATCAGCTCCTTCACTAACAGTCTAGGTTTTACAGTGTAAAAATGATGAACATTCTCAGTGATCTTAGGCCACTTTGAACTGAGTTATGGTTGAAATACCAGCGCTATGTAATATTGCCATTTTCTGAATGAATTTCTACTATAAATTAAACCAGCATAAACCGAAAAGTAATAGCATATATACTTACAGAAAACCTTTGATTTTTTCTGTGATTTGCTGAAGTCTTTTATTTGCTTACAAATATATTTATCAGGCACAGTATGCAACTTGACTCTAAAATATTATATATATTTTATATATACATTAATATATATAATATATATAAATTAAAGCTTTATATATAGGGGAATACATATATATACACATATATGCATATGTATTCCCTTATATATATATATCTGTATATACATTCCTAAAAGACATAAACCATTTTCTCTGGAAATAAGAAAAATTAAGATTATAAACTGCTGAAGAAAGGCTTGAAAGGAAATAGACAATTTCCTTTGGGGTTAATCAGATTTGTTCTGATATTAACTTAAATATATCCTCTATATTTTATAATCTACATTCAGAGTTTATGGTGGCTTGGAGGCTTTTTTTATTATTTACATAGACTATTAAAACAATACATATTGTGCGTTAATTTAGGGACTGATTCATTAGGAATATTATGCAGGCATAGCTAAATTTGACAGTTGCAACAAATCCTGCATTTGTTCTTTTATGTATGCTACTCCTGAGATTTGATGTGGAGAAAATAAGGCTGAAGTCCCACTGAAGCCACATAATCTCCAATGTCTGATAAAGTCTTTGATAGGTTTTTTTTTATGCTGGCTTCAGTGGACTTTGTACTAGGTCCTAGAAGTCAAGAACAGTTTACATACTAAAGAATATTTTGAAAAATACAATCATCTCTGGTTTTGTAAAGAACAATCATTGTTTTTTGGCCCCAATTCAACACTTTGTGGCCATCTCCCTCAACTGCCTCAAAGCAAGCTAAATGTCTGTATTATTTCTAAACCAAAGAAACATATTCTTTCAGGGATGCAAGATGCAAAGTGTTCTGTAATACTTTAAAGAAATTGTTTGGATGTATTAACTATGTAAAGTTTCCATTTAATTCCATTAACTCAGAAGCGCGAAGACAAAACCAAAACCAAACAACAACAAAAAATAAATTAACACACCCCCCCCAAAAAAAAAGAAAAAAAACCAAAAAACAGGAGGTCCATCATCTCACGATAGACTTTGGATATCAAAATGGCACATTGAGTTTTTATATCAGATCAGTGATGTAAAAAACTAGACCACTATGGGTTAAGTCTTTAGACTTAATAAAGCTATGCCAATTGATAGAAAAAATTTGGTCATAAATATGCAGTGCCTTAAAAATAGAACTGAAAGTGGTTTCAAACACTTGCAAGAGTTTCTAATAGTCTGTACAGGTTTTATAATTATGCTTTTTGTTAACTGTAATCTTCCAGGGTTGTGCAAGTCTCCAAACTTCAACTGAGAGGTAGATGACAAGAAAAATCCAAACTGCAAAATAACAACATGCAAATTATGTTGAAATTACATAGCAATGCATTTGCAAAATGTGATCAAAAAGGTCTGTATGTGCAAACCCTTTCAATATATAAATGCACAAATATCAGAAAAGCACCCCCCCCAAAAAAAAAAAATCCAGAGAGCCTTGTTAAAATTGATATGTCACGTCTGAAAATAGTTATTTAAAAATTCCCTTTATATTCCTCTCTGTGAATATAAAAATAGTCTCCTATTGAGAAACTAACAAAAATTTATTGATTCAGTTTTGTTATAAGCAATATTGTCAACATCAGTTGCAGCATGTTCATCTATAAAAGTGGTCACTGGCTTTGTTTAATGAAACCCTGATGGCTGCCCATTATCTGGCTGTATGTACTATCTGTAGCTTATATATTTGAAAAATACCTCTGCACTAACATTCACAACCATTGAGAGCTGAAAGCAGCAAGAAAAAATGTTGCTTAGGCATTTGAGGAAAGAGAATAACAGAAAAAAAAAAAGTCAGTACATTCCAGGTCCAAAATCTTTATGTTGCATCAAAATGGAGAATGGGGTGTGGGGTGGAATTGGCAAGCCATCAAGAAGAATACGAGTTATCTGGGAGGAACGACTATGTACACACGGCTAAATGTTTGTTAAGCACACTGTATGTTGATATGCAAAAAGACCATTAAAATTCATGTGAATTTTGAATCATAATGTTAGTGAAATTGCTGTAATTCACTTCAGGAGCAAGGAAAGTTGGACTTCCCCTCATAAGGACAGCACCTTTTTAAACAAAAACATCTACTCTGTCAAAACAGCTCACAAATCACACACCTGAAATGAAAGGATTGTAGTCTGACTACTTATGCTACAGGATTTCATATCAAAAGATGCTTTTGTGAATTTAATGGAAATCATAGAATCATAGAATGGTTAAGGTTGGAAAGGACCTTAACATCTAGTTCTAACCCCATGCTTTGGGACGCCTCACCCTAGACCATGTCACCCAAGGCTCTGTCCAGCCTGGCCTTGAACACTGCTAGGACTGGAGCATTTACCACTCCTTTGGGCAACTTGTTCCAGTGCCTCACCACCCTCACAATAAGGAACTTCTTATGTTCAACCTGAACTTTTCCTGTTTAAGTCTGAATCCATTACCCCTTTTCCTACACAGAACTGGCAACAGCTGCAGCCACAGTTCAATGAAAAGAGAGAGAGAGAGAGAGAGGCATGGGGGTGAGATTTTGATATGTTCTTGAAAAAGTACAGAGAATTATTAGTGAGAAGGCTTTCTCTGGAGCTGGAAAAGGCAAGACAGAAAAAACTGCCATCTACTGGAGAGTATGATGTCAAAAAAACCCAAAGACATAAAAGCATCTGGATGTATATTCTGCAACTACTTGAAATTTAACCCTGACATTAGATAGGAAAACATTATTGATGTTATCCCCTTTTCTACAAATTTTAAAATTTTGGTTTTCTTTTTCTTGATTTATTGAATTAAGAACAAGATGATAATTAGGATCTGTGATATTGTGGCAGAGAAATGTAAAGGATGAAGTATACAAGTATAAATGAGATTAAGACCAATTAAGGATTTGCTTGCACTGACAGAGACTACGGACTCCATAGGGCATAACAGATGTATATGGTATCTCTTGAAGTTTGAGAGTATGTTTCTTCATTGGGGATGTGGCCCTGCTTGAGCAAGTCCAGAGAAGGACCATGAAGATGATCAGAGGGCTGGAGCACCTCCTATGAAGACAGACTGAAAGAGCTGAGGTTGTTCAGCCTGGAGCAGAGAAGGCTCAGAGGAAACCCTAAAGTGGCTTCCAGTGCCTAAAGGGGGCCTACAAGAAAACTGGAGAGGAGCTTTTTAGAAGGGAGTGTAGTAATAGGACAAGGGGGGAATGGCTTTAAATTGACAAAGGGGAGGTTTAGATTAGATATTAGGAAAATATTCTTCACTATGAAGGTAGTGAGACACTGGAACAGGTTGCCCGGAGAAGCTGTGGCTGCCCTATCCCTGGAAATGTTCAAGGCCAGGCTGGATGGGGCTTTGAGCAACCTGGTCTAGCAGAAGGTGTCCCTGACCATGGCAGGGGAGGTTGCAACTTTGGAACTTTGGATCTTTAAGGTCGCTTCCAACTCAAACCATTCTATGATTCTATGATTGTAGAGCTAAGGCATCTCTCAATCCTGCAGTGGTCCAGACTGCCAGTGAGGTAATTAAAAGAAACCAGAAGGTTTTAGAGAAATGGTATATACCCAGGTATTATCCTAAAGCAGAAGTGTAATGATTAAACAATTTGCAGTACAAATTACACCTCAGTGCAAGTAAGGGTGATATTCAGGAGTTTGAAGGCAAGTTATACCCATTTTGCTACTTTGCTGCTTGATAAAGAGTTGATTCAAGACAATTTATTATTATTACTACTTTTAGAAATAAGAACTCCTATACAAGGCAATTGCCCCATTAGGACCTGTTATTTGGAAGACAGTTTTTTAATTCCCAGCAGTTTTTGCATAGATATGGTTCCAATTATCTTCAGTCGTCTCTGAATTTTAACTTCTTTAATATTCAGTAATACCAAGAGTATTCAGATGGTTTTCATTTTGCTGTTAGTATCAAGAGGAAAAATAATGGAAGAAGTGTAAGAAAATGCTTCACTTGACCCAGTTCCTGCTTTATATTGCTCCATTTGCCTGCTACATCCTTTTACTTTACAGACTTAAAAATTGTACATTGGTGAGCGGTGATAAAGCAGTTCTTTCATTCCTATTAATTTTAACATAGTTGACCAGAGACAAGAGGGGTATCTCTGCAGAAGGTTGTATTTATATAATCCAGTATTTCTTCTGAGATAGGTTGTTACTGGTAGTCAGATATGTCTATGGCTTGAGGAACCTTGTTTTTCCCTTTTTTCCTATGCCATTTGCATCATATTCTGCAATCCTGATTAGAATGGGTAAGTTGCTTGCATGATTCCTGAGATACTTTTTTTTATCATCTTTTTTTTTGATTCCTTTATTTACCTAACAGCAACTTTTAACAGACTTAAGTCAAAAGCTGACACCTGTTGTCCTCTACCCTTTATTCTTAATCACGCTATTTTTTGCAAAGAGATAATAAGCACCTAGAATTTTGCCTCAGACATTTTTGTTCAGCCTCTATATTCATCTCTTTTCAGATAATCTCTGCCTTCCTACCACTTGCTGTCAAGAGCAGTGATGTTCCTGATGACTACTCTTTGACTAAAATTCCAGTTCATTTTTCACAATCCGGTATTTATAACTTATATTCCTCAATATATGAAAGCTTATTGTCTATAAAACTCCCCATCACTTTCTGGCTCTGGGCCTGTAGGACCTTGACAGATGCTGGAATTCACCCTGTATGTTTGTATAGACAAAAACAGAGCAATGCTTTTACATGGGGTGCTGGCAGGGCTATGGCTCCTATGGAGGTTCAAGATATTTATTTCTTCTGTGAGGCTGGGGCCTATGAAAGGAACTGTAATTTTACTGGGACTAAGTCTTTCTCCTTTACCCAGTTTGCTGTTCAAATCTGAGCATGTATCCCATATTTTCTCCCAAAACTCTGAAATGCACATAGTTCCTTGCTGATGAGCCTATAAAATTACAGGCCTTGTAGATGATGTTTGTTTTTCCTGCATATAAATAGGTAAAAAGTAGGTATTACTTTCTATACCATGCTGAGAGTAGATTCGCGATGCTTTGTCCCCAAAACATTGCTGAGATAATGAAAAAGTTCAGCATTAATGTGGAACTTCATAATATGTAAAATGATAACCCAGCAAAACAGAACCCAGCACTACCAAAATTTTTAGAAGCATGAAAATAATAATATTGAACACTACTATTAAAAAAATGTCTTTCTTAAAAGCACTCCCAAATCTGCTCGATTTGACTAGTATTTTTTTCTTTTGCTATTGGTGCTTCAAAGTGTGCTTAACACAGCTAGCTGTCAATAAAATGTATTTGCAACATTTGGAGATTTAAAAGAATGATAAAATGAATTATACTCTTTTCCCAGAATTAAGTGTATGTATGTATATCTTGCATAAACAGTGCATAAATGTTTTATGAATCAGACCCTTAATTTTCACAACTTCTGAGGCATTTTTACGCATCTCTCCAACAGGAATAGCACCTTTCCTCACCTACAAATAGAACAGAAATATTTTCACTTAATACTTCCAAAAGCTTGCACTTTTAGCTTTCAAGTGCAATGCTAAATGATTTATGTAAAATTGTAGACTTATATTTTCTTTTGCCTGAAGGAAGAAGAAAAATTGTATAAATTTTAATTGATATGAGAAATTTTGGACACAAGACCAAATATCCTGCACAAGAATGATACAGCAATTCAAAATTTCGATCAATGTCTCTTGCAGCATTTTGTCGAACTGGCATTACAAAACAGTAGTTTTTTACTAAATACATAGGAAAGGGAGGTGAGAAGTGGTATGAAGTTACTTGTCTGCAAAGACCTAAAGTTAGACTTTTAATCTTCTCTCAGTAAACTATCAAGAAACGAATGAGTTGCCAGTGAACCCAAGCATCTACTTGGAGTCAGTGCCATGAAACTGATTCAGGCCACAAAAGCCAAAGGTTAAGTATCCTTTTAACATCAACAGGTTCTGAATCTAGTCCATTTAGGAAGAACGCTTCACAATCCAATCCAGATCCTTCAGCCATACAGGAATACATAATCAAACAAATTGGCTAGCAATGTAAATATTGGGTCTAAATCCTTCTATATACAGGCAAATTTTAGCTTAGTTTGAACTACAGAGGTATGAATGTACTTTGTGTTCAAATGTACATGTTGAAGTACAATGTAGTCTGCTATCACAGGAGGAAACAACTTCTAGAATATATTGTAACTCAGCTGTTTATTGTAATTTAGAGATGGTGCCCACTAATTGTTTGTCTTCCAGACTTAACTTTTACATCCCTGTTATAATTGGTTATACAGACATGTTGTATCTTTTTGATCTAGTGGGCATATAAAAAAGTTTCAGTGTGCTTCACTCGGGTACTCTGTCTCTTTTTAAACAGATCTTGTATTCTTTTTAATAGCAGTGGTAGGTACATTTTGGGCATATTATTTCTACAGAATTTAACAATACTTAAAAGATGAACACAAAGTATCTTCGCAAACAAGAGCAGGAGACACTTTTGCATTATATATACTTCTGAAACAAAACCATTTGTTATTGGAAGACTACATAGTCTGGTTTACCTGACTCCTGATTGTCGAGAGTCATAGTCTCAGGGACTTACGTGGATGGAGTCACTACCTCTGTAATCTCAATTTTGTATCACTGAAATAAATAAACTGTAGATAGTAATTTAACTTAGAGTCTTGCCAATGGGGCAAAAGACTGTTCCCATCCAATATTGTGACTGATCATTTTTACTACAAAATCTGGTCTGTGTCTTGAAGACATATTTCTAATGGAACTCATAAATGTTGCCTTCTGAGCTATATTGCAGATTAAATATTGGTTTCTCTCTCTGAAGGATCTTCAAGAGCTTTATCAGCTCTCCTGGCAGCATCATCGCTCTCATTATTTGTTAGTGGTTCCGCTTCCTTTGGGTCAGCATTCTTCTGTGCTTTCTGCTTCTCATCTTCTAACTTCTTTTCTTTTGCCAAAAGCCTGTAGTTAATGGTATTGCCAATGAATAACCAGATACTGGCCACAATCACAATCACTCCGCAGACAAAATACATGTACTGATATTCACCAGTAACATCCACTAACCAACCTGAAATATAAACACAAGGAGAAATACAGCCTTTAGAATAGCATACCTAATACAATCCATATATTTTCCTAGGAAAAATATCTATATATTGTTTGGCTTTGAAGTTGGAGCAGAAGAGCATTTTCAACATGGTCAAATTTTTTAACATATACAGCAGAAAAGTCCAATGAAACCTCTATTAGTCAAGCTAAGAACTGTTGGAATCTCTGACAGTGATAAAATATTGAAGAACAAAATAAAGCTTAATGAATAATGACAGTTTTTTAGTTCTTTCATTTTCATTCTTTCATTGTCTTATTATTTTATTCCCCTCCTAATTTTGTTTCCTATTGTTTTGGAGTGACTGACACTCATGGAGGCTGCATACAGACAATAGGGTGAAAAGGTATGTGCCTTTTTAGGCTGCTGTCATAGTACATCAAATGCCTGCTTTTCATTTTTACTTTCGTGTGACTTGTGAAAGAGAGAGAAAGGTTTTTCCCTTCAGCTATTGTGCTTAACTGTTGAGTTTTATACTATGAAGCATGTACTTAAAACACACCCACACCTCTGAGATTAATTTGGTCATGACAGGGAAAATAAAATGTAACTGTTCTTTCACTTTATGAGCCATTCTTTCTAAATTTCCCCAAATCCCAAATCAACATTTGCACGTATCCAAGCACTTAGCTCTGAACTCCGCTACACTATCATTGAAATTCACAGGATAACCTGTGCACTTCAATTTAGTATGTATTTAGATGCTTTTACTGGGTTGAAGCCATAATACCAGCCTATTCACCTCATGCACATTTACGAGCCATCAAATTATTTTAGTCTTTATTTCAGAAGCCTAGCATTACAAAAAAATCAAATGGCACTGCAAGTGTATAATTCACCTATTAGTGTAAATAGTACAATTCACTCTTTTTTATCGTTGCATAGTCTCATAAAACTGATGATTAAAAATGAAATTCTGCATTAACATTACTTCAGCAAAATATTTTAAAGAACATGAATTAATCAAAATTGGAATTTAGCTTTTTCATGTGGTCATTCCCTTTGTTGTCTCTATTTAATAAGATAAATCAATTATTCATACAGTTATAGCACAAACAAATGTTTTTCAAAACTCCTGCAAAGCTAATATACTGAAAAATAAATAGTTGCATAAGCTTTTTCTCCATAAATATTACATTTAATGTCTTTAGAGTTATATTAATTTCAGAACCTGACTGACAAGGCTGGACTCCAGCGGTCACAGGCTCAGTCCGCCCACTAGGTGGCATAGGAAGAGTCTGTGTGAGAGGAATGTATTTTCTTCTATCGCCAAAACGAATTTACATTTAAAAGATGAGGGAAATATGGAATATCTTGAGGACTATTAGACTTTTACTTGAACAAATACTATTGTACTGAAGTGAGTGGAATTGTTTTGTCATATTTAAAATTTCACTCAACAATGCTATTTTCATAGAAATACTGACAGTAATACTTAAAATACTTCAATATATATAAATGTTTTTAGGCATACATAATCTTGTTGAATTCTGTAGTACTGTTTATGTGGATATAGTGTACATTCACCAGGCTGGCAATCATACTGTCTTTATATCTTCATATTGTTGGGCTTAGACTGCAACACACTTATATTTAACCAATATGTTTCAGTAAGACCTGAACATCTATTTCTTCAGTCTCTTGTATCATTATAAACCTTATGATTATAAAAATTACTAACAGCATTATTAAACAGTGGGTAAAAAGCTAGCAAACAGAAAATACATTAGATAAAATTCTTCATAAATTTGGTGCGAGAAACCAAAAGGTTATGAATATAGTTCAAGCTGTGCACCTAGGCTCCTTTTAAGGTCCCCTTATACTCAAAAGAGAAACGGGCAACATCATCATCTTTCAGTCAGTTTACACTCTGAATTGGTTTACATGTATCTGCTGGCTATAGAAACAGTCTTAAAGACTGGCTGTGAGATGGCTGTGGTTTGAACTCATGCCAGCATGTAATGCTCCATGGTTCCATGATGGAAACTCACTATGCATTCACCTTGCCTAGGCTGCTGAGCATGCCTTGTCCTTTCTGGTACCTCCCCACTAGTGTTCCAGAAATGTCAGTCCTCTCTGTTTAGACTAATTAAAGTTGCTATTTTAAATTTAAGCAAGTGCTCCTCTAGCTGCCACTGGGTTACAGAAACTATAAGACACTGTGAGATATTCACAAAAACTGACCAGTGAATTTGACCAATTCATAGAATCATAGAATAGTTAAGGTTGGAAAGGACCTTAAGATCATCTAGTTCCAACTCCCCTGCCATGGGCAGGGACACCTCACAGTAAACCATCTCACCCAAGGCTCTGTCCAACCCAGCCTCGAACACCGCCAGGGATGAAGCATTCACAACTTTCTTTGGCAACCCATTCCAGTGCCTCACCACCCTTACAGTAAAGAACTTCCTCCTTAAATCCAATTTAAACTTCCCCTGTTTAAGTTTTAACCCCTTGCCCCTTGTCCTGTCACTACAGTCCTTAATGAAGAGTCCCTCCCCAGCATCCCTATAGGCCCCCTTCAGATACTGGAAGGCTGCTATGAGGTCTCCATGCATCCTTCTCTTCTCCAGGATGAACAGCCCCAACTTCCTCAGCCTGTGTTCATATAGGAGGTGCTAAGAACTGTCTTGGCAAAGAGCAAAGTGGAACTGAATACATGTAAATCAAGACTGCAAATTTATCACTATTGTGCTCTCATGAAAATGTATGTTTATCACCTGGATTTATGGACCATTAGAGATATGCTCTTAATCTATCTATTGTACATGCACACGGTGCATCCCTTTAGATTCTCATATGGATCTTCATCTGTAAAGCCCAGAAATAACTGATGCAGTGCACTGCTACAATGCATTCCTAGTCACAGTGAAAACATTAAATAATATTAAGAACAATGTTTATATTAATTCAATGCTAAATTGCAGGATTATGCTATAATGTCTGAAAAACTGGAATAAAAAAAGATTCTTACCTCCTAAAGGAGGGCCTATGAGCACAGGGCAACATTCCACTATGGTGACAAGTCCAACCGCACTGGAAAATCTGGCAGCCCCAACGAGGTCCATCAGCGTCTCAAAAAGAACGCTGCTAACCATTCCAAATGCAAACCCAAAAAATACAGCATATATCACCAAGCCAGTATAATTTGTTGCCAGAGGGCACAAGACATGACAGATGCCATTGTACAAGACAGCAAAACTAAAAAAGTACTGAATCTTTGGCCGGATAAACTTGGAGTTTGCTACTAGTCCCATTGAAGGCCTAGCAAACATGTCTACAAAGGCTAAGATAGATAGCAAAAAAGCAGCAGAATATTCATCAATTCCCTTGTGCTTTGCATAAGGAGCCAAGAATACTATTGGAGCGAAGAAGCCAATAAACATAATGACATTTCCTGACAAATAGATCAGAAACCCTCTGTGTTTGAAGAGGGACAGATCTAGATATTTATTCATAGTTTGCCAAAAAGACTTCTTGTTGTTTTTGTGCAAGGTAGAATCTCCTGTGCCTTTTTCAACATCTTTTTTCACAGGACGGACTGTTTTCGGTCCAACAGGTCTCATAAGAGACCCAGCTACACAACAGTTCAAAAGAAGTCCTCCCAGAATGAGAAAGCTTCCTTTCCAGCCAAATGCATTAAAGAGGAATTGATTGAGAGGTGCCAATGTGCTCAGAAACACTGGACTTCCAGCCATGGCCAATCCATTAGCAATGGGACGCTTCTTATAGAAATACTTGCCAATCATGGTCAAAGCAGGCTGTAAGTTGAATGCTAAACCCAGACCTACACAAGACATAAAAGACAGTATTATTGCAGGTCATTCAGTGAAAAACACATCACATCTCTTTCAAGTTATTTTTAAAATAACTAGTATCTAATCCAGTGAATCCCAATGAAGGTAGAAACCAACTAGCATCAGAGAAAAAAATACAGTTTCATTGCTATGTGTGTTAATGCCAAGACTGTGTCATGATGGCGTTCTGCCATTTCCCCCAGTAGCATTGCAATAGAAGCCAGAACTCCTTGTTGTGTTTCAGCAATTACAGAGACAGGGGAATCACAGAGTAATGATGGTATCAGGACCTTGACTCACCATTTATATTTACTAAGCTATAATTCAATTCTCTCTTGGCTCATTTCACAAAAGTTATTAAATGTCACCTCAGCTACAATAAACGCAGGGTGCATTTAAATGCATAAATCTCATTTCTTATTTCCAGCCCTGTTTATGCTAAAACTTTCATCCAAAATTGGAGCTCAAAATGTCTTACTATTTTGGGGCAAATACAGCTCCACTTCCCCAGATATGGAAGTCACTACCAAAGGTGGAAGAGGGTAGAGGACAACTATGGGAGCAGATCACACATCTACATCAACTAAGCATATAACCTCTAGGTCTTCTGTCTGTATTAAGACATCTAGGCAATAAGGTCTAAGTAGCTATGCATCTCCTGGGTGGCACAGAAGTTTTTTTTCTCTTATAGCCCCATTTGTGCATCCTGACTTTATTTTTTCAGTGGGCCCCAAGTTTATGATATAAAAAATAAAAGCTTTAAGAAATAATCACTGAACAAAGGACTCCTTTAGTTTCAACATAAAGTTTAGCTTGAATGTAGGAACAAGTATCATTCATTTATTACCTGCCAATTTTACCTCACTTGCCTTCCTTATTCTGAGGGGGAAGCTTAAAAAAAAACAACCAACCCAAAACAAAACAACACAACTTTTGACAAGGAGGTTATTTAATTTACTGGCTTTATGATTGCCTTAGGCAATACCCAGGCCTATGATGGAGATTATAAGTCATTTTGCTTGGGGGTTGACCCTGGAGGATTTTAAACAAAGATATTGATCAGAAAGTTATTATACTTTTCTGTAAGAGTATATGTATGTACAAACCTACACAAAGCTGGTACTAGCTTTTGCATTTATACTAGAATTCTGATAGCTTCTGCCACCCTCTTTGAAGTGCACCTTGATTGAAAGCTAGAAGAATGAATGTGAAACTCTATACAAATGACTGCAATAAGTGCTGTCACGAGACGATCAATTTTTATACCATAATTACAGTGCAGTCTGGAAAGGTACATACATACAGCACTTATTGAATAAAATCATCAGTTGTTCCTGAAATATCCTAAGAAATAATTTAACATCATACCAGCTAATTTAATGGGTTAAATAGTTAATGTAGGCGAAACTAATTGATCTTGCTACCTTCTTGGTTTGCAATTGTACAATACCTTGCACAGTGGGTTCTTGATCAGTAAGGCTCATTGGCAAAACAGTATTAGAAATAGCATATAACATAACAATACCTTTTAAACAGGACTCTTACCTCCAACAACACCAATACATAGATAAAGTTCCAGGACGCTATTGCAGAAAGAGGAAGCAATCATTCCAAATGAACACAGGATACCACCTGCTATCATCACAGGCCGGCTACCATACTTATTCACCAAAATGCTGCTTATGGGACCTGTCAGTAGACAGAAAATACATTAACAGGTTACAGGTAACTCCATCATATATGTCTTTGTATTTAGGATGCACTGGAATGTTTTCCTCCTCCACCACGGCAAATGCTTAGCTGTTTTTACACCAATTTGTCTTACAAACAAACTCTGCAAGTTTGCAGACAAATGAGTCTGGATGTGGATATATTGTCTCCATGATAATATAAATATTGGTTAATCATGGAGATGGATAAAAAGATTAAAGACATCAGACAAGCAAGAGGGATTGTTACAGTTCAGAAGCAATCGATAGTGATACCGGTCAATGTTAGTTTTGAATGTGCAAGAACTGAAGAATTTCAAGTATGAGACAGATATCAAAACTCCACAGAGCAGGAGGAATTTCCAGGCAAGCAAACTAATAACTGACCTTAATACTGTAGCACATCCTGGACCCCTAATTAAAACTACTTATAGACTTAAAAATACTGTCAAATCAGAATGTAAATTGCTGGCACCTGAAGCTTGTTTTCCTTCCCTCATCCAGAAAGGACTGTTAATGGGCAGTAAGATAACAATAGGTTGTCTGGGAAAACATAAGAGGTGGTTTAGCATAAGGACCTATAAACTTCGAAAATATTGCTACAGGTCTGACTTTCAGTTTCAGCTGCAATTCAATTTATGGTGTAATTACATCCATACTAAACAAACACCTAGTGTGCAATTTAGCACGACATGCATTATATGTTTTTTAAACGACCGTGACTAGAATAGATGGTGTGATACATATCAAGATTAAGAGGTTGTCAAAGCTCTTTAGGTAAACCTGCAGGCCATCTGACTGCACTATATTTGGCCCAAACCATTACAAATAGTCTTGCTTTTACAATAACTAAACTTATCCATTTAAAAATAAAAGCCCCATAATAAAAAGAAATAAATTTCAAACTCATGATAAAACAGGCATTCAGCATGAAGTGGATGCCAAGCTCTGCACCTGATTTCACTGCAAATCATTCACTCTACTGGTAACAGTTTTAAGTCTCTCTTTTTATAAATATCTAAAGGAATAAATGACAGAAACTACATAATGTGAAAAAGCGAAAAACGACAAAATTTAAAAGTGTTACTTTTCATAGGTACAGTATTATTTTAGACTGCAGTGTTTGAATTACCTTAAATGCACTAAAGTACTATTATGGATACACCGTAAATGTTAATTACTACTTGCATATCAACAACAAAAGTCTTAAGCATATACTAAATAATCAACTTTTAGCTTACTTCCTAATAGATTACACATATTGTGCTCTCACAACTATGCTGAATCATAACTTCAGTCATGATTTTTTTGTTTATAGGGCTATGTCTGGACAATCAGTAGTTTGGCTTATGTTTGAATTAGAAAGAAAGCCCTTTTGAAATATGTGAAAAATACAAATACTTTCTGTGGGTGAAAAAAAAAACACCCCAGGCTTTTAACTGGAACTCTCTACTTAACTCACAGCAGTTTCACTTCAGGGATATACTAAAAAACTGATTTTAAAAATTATTTTCAAGTTCTTCTTCATAACGAGACATATATTTAAAAAACTGTAAATTAAAAATTTCATTTGTTAACATTACGATCTCCCCCAAATTACTGTTATAATTAATCTTTTCTTGTTGTCATCTTACTTGAAATGTTCCTTTCCTGATCCTTAGGAAAATCTGTAGGAAAGAGGCATCATAGCAGGGAAATATTTTACCATACTATTTACTATTTACTATACTGTTCACTACATGGAGCACCACAGATTATACCTTTACATAAACACTTCAGTTATAAAATATATAGACCTGTTAGCAATCCTTATTAATTCCTTATCAAGCAAAGACAGAGTGAAAAGCCAAAATTAAAAAGGCGAGGTAAATCCACACACAGCAAACTATCAAGTGTTGGAAAGAGGGGAATGGCATTAAAAACAGTGTTGTGCAATATTGCTATATTGTTAGTATTTTAAATAAAATTATGGGTCAAAAAGACAGCATTGCACAGCACTGACAAAGTTTTTCAATCATAATCAGAGACAAAAATGAGCTCTACTGTAATATTCAGCCCAAAATAGTACTGGCTATAATATTAATATTCTTTAGTACTGTTCCATCAATTCTTTCTTCCTTCTCTCATAGGACAGGAAAATGAGCCAGATTTTTTTTTGTTTAGGGTTTTGGGGAAGGGGGTTGTTTTTAGTGTTTGGTTGTTTTGAGGGGTCGACCAGAAACAGCAAGCTTCCCTCTCCTCTGAGGGAAATAATTTTGCAGACAGTTCCTTATCAGGAACAAGAAAACTGCATCTCTACAGATCTTAACTGTGGCAATTAAGCCAGGACTATAAATTATAGCTTTTCAGATCAAAGAATGTAATGTTAGCCTTGCCTACAAGACCTGTTAACTGAGGTGAAATACAGACATATTAATTTAGGTATACAGTGGATGAAGACACCAGAGGAAAGACAGTGTTGTCTGATGGGTCTGAGCTCTGTACTTTCAAATGACCTAAATCTGGAATGTATTATGAACTTAAAATTCCTTTAAACATAGTATTTTCTTTGAGATGCTTTCCTTAGTTAATGATGTGTATTTAACACTAGAGCAAAAATTAATTTTGGGGCTTCTTTTAGTATATTCCAGTATTATGATTTAAAACTTATCCATGTGGAAATATTAATTATTCTACAAGCCATAAAGTTAGTTCAAGCTTACTCCCTAAGTTATCTAGGAACCATTCCATCTGATGAGTAGGTTAAACATTTTATTGTGACATCTGTGTGTATACTTGGTTTTGGAGTTTCATAAAATGATGCATATTCATACCTTAATGTATACGAACCTAAATAAATTACAGCTGTTTGCCTGCCATCATATGTTTTATAGCAATACACAAATTGCATTTCCCATCTAACAGCTTCTGCAATTATTTAAGCAATGCTCACATGCCAGAATGTATCTTTATTCCTGCTTTTTTCTTTTTCTTTTCTTTTAGCAGAAGGAAGATTAAGCTGTTCAGATAGTGCAACACTGCCAAAATCATGCTATACATTAATGCACATAAATGCACTAAAGGCCTGCTGGATCTCTGAATCTACTTTCCCAAAGCCTAAAGTAACTATGTAACAGATGTTAAGTCAGGAAGCCCATAAGCATATTTACTCTGATCTCTCCCTCAGCACCTACAAACTACCAGCCCCAAAGGACTATACACTCCCTAAACCAAATTTAAAACCATTATCACAATATGTTAACAGTCTCCTGGCTGTATTTTTTGTTTTATATCTTCTGTTTCAGGCAAATGACCAGATTGTGAAAAGGAATGACAGCAACTGCAACCAGTGCCGCTGAAGGGCTGCGGAGCAGGACACAAATACTTAAGATGACAAGAAAAAAAACAAACAGCTTTTCACATTCTTTGTCATACGTCAGAGGAAAGATGGTAAAAGTCATTTCAGCTATGTGAGCAGAGGCTGGCTCATGCATTTGGGAGCTGTTTATGATGTTTTATACAAAGCCCATAATAATGTGACACCTATATTCTGTTATGATGGCTCAGCAGAACATCACTTGAGTATCTGTATTGTGCAAAATGTGAGGGCAAAGCTGCTTTCGCTGGTCTTCAGTGAATACCAAGACCTCTTGGAAGAATTATATTTTTTACAAATTAATTATTTCTAATAAGAACTAAGGCAGCAATAATCCATATTTTCCTCTCTCTTGCAACCTTTTCTATCAGCATTTAAATCTTCCTTCTGCTAAGTCACACTGTTGTAAATGAAAAAAAAAAAGCCATGTAATTGAATAATAAGTAATTTAAAAAGCAGATGTTTGAAGAAATAATCACTCCTCCCCCTTAAAAGATGCTTATTGTGCTAATATAGTTTAAACATAACTTGAACATTAAAGTTTCCTTTTAAAGAAATGTACTGCTTGCTATTTTTGTGGAAATGAATAGAGGGCTCAAACTATCCACTGTAAATTTAATACTTTTTTCTCATATACTTACATTTTCAGAGATACACACATCCAGCTATTTATTTGCTTTTTCCAAACAGAAGAAAATATACACTTCAAAAAATGATCTGACTCTGGAGACAATGCAACAACTTTATATCTAATATCTCTAAAAGCTGAAAGGATGCAAACCAGATAACAATATTTCCATTTCATAATACCTTGAGGTAATAGTACAGGCAGATCAGTTTTAAGTCTATGAAACAGAATAAAGGAAGATTTATTTGGCATAAAATCTATATCTTGCTCAGCTCTCAGGTAGAATAACATTTATAAGTCCAAATGTATTAGGTACAGTCCATTAATTTATAAGAGGATGAGAATCTAGGAGACCAGAATTCTTGCTGCTTTTCTATTTTTCATCAATTTTTTTTCATACCAAAGTGGAAAAAAAAAATACTTCAGAAAGTTCTCCCATAAATAGACAGCACTTTCTGTGAGGGATCAAAAAACATTCTGCAACTTAAATGTATAATAACTAGTCAGAATGGTTACAATAGTAGGGATAGGTTAATAGCAGTATCAAGCTGCCATAATTGTCTTGGATGTCCTTAATGTGCCATTATGTCCATAATGAGGTCATATTCTATATTTATATTCACTGTAGGAATGAAATTTCTTCCAAAAACATATAATCCAGGTTTTAGCATTTAATTTATTTGTCCTGGTTTGATTTCTCACTGCTATAATACAGTGACATAATTAAAGATCATCCACATTTGTAATTTGTTTCACATACAGCCAGTGAATTTATACCTTTTATATTGCTGCCTGCATTATTTTAGGTACAGAACTTGAGATGAACCTTCCTGATATAAAGGTAATTTTTTAAGCATATATTGACAACGTCCTACAGTGTTCATAGTGTCATTGATCCAAAGCTGCCTCAAATGACTCAGTCTGAACGATATAACATTTATTTAAATAAAGTGAATTGCTGAAAGAAGTTGAAAATAAATGCAATAATAGTATTTCA